CGAAGCGGGCCGTGCCGGGGGTTGTGGGTGTGCAGCAGCCAGAGAGGAAGCGTCTGGCACTGGCTGGGAGATGGTCAGAGCTCTCAAATGCGTCCCCCTCCAGCAAGGCTGTGCCCAGACAAAGCGGGAAGGAGCAGGCAGGTGAGAGAAGGGGAGTTGCTCCTGTTACCTTTCCCTTCATTCAGGCTCTTCAGGAACGGCTTGAGCTTCTTCTCATAGAGGATTGCACCCTCTGTGTGCCGCTGCCGCAGCACCATCCAGGTCTGCTCCAGCCGGGCGATCTGAAAGTGGATGGGGCAGATGGAGGGTGCTGGGGGCAGCACAGCCCCCGGGGCACTGAGCCCCAGGCTCCCGGTGCTCCCAGGGGGGCATGGCCTGGCCCCGGAGCCATGGCCCCCAGCCTTGCACACAGCGGTGTCTGCTGCTCCCCGAAACAGCTGTCTCCACAAGCGCTCATGGCCAGACACGGCCCATCCCTGGCACCGAGGCTGTGTTCAGGATTTCTCCCCCCTCCCTGTGCCCCAGGACAGCAGCTTCCCCGCGTTGCAGCGGCCTTGAAGATGAGACGCAGGGAGGGGGCAGCCGTTCCACCTCCTTTGTGCAGGCAGGAAGCAAGACTTCCCAGCTGGACTTGATTTAAAATTGAATTTTAATCTCCTTTCATCTTCCAAAGGGAGCAGTGTGGCCCGGAGACACTGCTGCCACAGCCTTGAGACTGATTTGTATTGTACCGGAGGGCAGATTCATTTCCTACCAGGAACACAGCCCAGCACAAAACAAAAAGCCTAACCACCAAAAAACAATGAGATCCCGGCAGGCCTGGGCTGTCTGCTCTGCAGAGGGAACGGCTCTTCCCCTTCGCCGCTTACACCCTGGCAGATGTGGCCCCACACTTCTCCCGAGGCATTTTCCCCCTTCTCCCACCCCAACGGGTGTCGGAGGCTGCAGGACACCAGGAGGGATGTTTTGGGTGGGGGGACTGACCCCAGGTCATGAGGACAAAGGGAGCATCCCCGTACCTGTGTCATTTCCAGGGCGTTCATCACAGCCGCAAAACTGAACATGTTCCCCATGGTGCTCTTCAGCTCGGCGGCCAGCTGGATGGTTTTGTGGAGCAGGGCCGCCCGCTCCTCTGTGCTGCCCGTGCAGCCCAGGATGTCCAC